TACTGATTTTATTAGATCGTTTACATCTTCTCGGTATAGGTTTCTGTTCTTATTTCTGGTAGTATTGTAATGTTCACATAACCTATAAAAAAAAAACTCAATTTTATAATATAATAATTGGGCATTTTTTACCTGATATTAATAAAAATAGTAACTAGTGGTGTATGGTATTGTGCCTTGAGGCAAACTGCTGGATTTTTCTGCACCGTAATGAAATATTTGAGGAATTTAAAATGTTTTCAATATAATTATAAATACTGTAACTTTCATTATTTATATTTATAGACAAAATGTAAGAGATTATAAATTAAACAACATTTATGTATGTTAACTTATTTAAGTGGAGTTTCAAATATATTATTACAAATACTGTCGTAACTTTCATTATTTTTGCTATCTTGTTATATCTATCTAGCAAATCAAATGTAAATCGTAAATCAATTTATCTCCCGGAACATTAACAATCGTCATTTCATTTCGAATTCAATTTCAAAAAAAAAATAGTTGCCTAATTTACACAAAATTGAAAAAGTGCTCCCGTATAGTCACAATCTAAACGCATTTGCAAATAATTTTGTGCGACATTTTCACTTATACTGTGCTTAGCTTGGCAGCATTTTCACATTTTCATTTAATGGTTTTCATAAAATTGGAAAATTGCTCCGTATATAAACAGTCTAAACGCACTTGGGTAAACATTTGTACCAGAGTGGCGCTTAGACTATGCTTAGCCTGGACAATTTTTTGAATTTTCAATCCAAAATTACAAAAATATTTTATGGAAAAAAAATTAGAAACAGTTTTTTTTCCAAAAAGCAATTACTTTTGTTGAAACAAGTAGAAAGTTCTTTGAATCATTTAAATCGGACGCTTAGTTCTCTTAAAAACTGCCATTTTTTCAACATTTGGCTCTGTATCTCTGAAACCACTGGGCCTACCTTTGCCAAAAACTAATAACCACTTTCCCCATCATTACGAACTGAATGTTTTTTGGATCATACAAATTGGATGATCCGTTCTCTCAAAAACAAAACAAACACGCTTTACTCTGCATTTAGTGTTTTCAGCATATCACAGATGGTGCTAGTGTGCTTCAAATTCCGCATTTGTTTTAAAAAACTGTCTCTATATACAGTACACGTACTTTAAACGTTCAAGTACCAATTTTATATGTTAAAATATATCTTTTTTGAATAAAAAATGTTTAATATAATTATTACAACATATTTGTGATTTTGTTACAAATATATTCTATACGCGTATATTGTTCTCATTTCATTTAGTCAAATTTATCAGGTTTATCTTTTCTATATTATATATTTAAATAAATCTTATCCTAGAATTGAACCTAATGGTAAATTTACGTGCTACGACCGGTGGCGACATCTATGATATGCTGACAGAATTAAAATTGATGTAATTTCAAAGCGGCTGTGTTTGCCATCAATTTATACTAAGTTTATCTAAGAAAGGACCTTATCTCATTTTATTTCTTTTATTTTTAACTTCAAGCAAGTTATAGTAATCGCAAAAAAAATCGAAAATGAAAATTTTTATATATCTTTACGTTTCAAAACCTTCTGAACATTTTGGCATACCTTAGAAAAAATGGATCTATGTGTGTGTGTATGTGTGTGTGTGTGTGTATGTGTGTGTGCGTGTATGTGTGTGTGTTCGGATACTAATTTTCGACGACGATTTCGGGAACACGGATGAAGCGATTTGAATAATTCAAAAAACATTCGATTCGTATTGATGAGGAGACGTGCTGATTAGTTTTTGGCGAAGGCAGGTCTAGCCGTTCCGAAAATATGGGGCAAAAAGTGCCGAAAACGGTAACCCAGTTTTTAAGAGAACGGAGCGTTCGATTTTAATAATTCAAAAAACATTTTACTTGTATTAACAAGATGAAGAACTGCTTAAATTTTCGTGAAGGCAGGTCTAGCGGTTTCGGAAATCTAGTAAAAAAAAGTAAAAAAAATGCCATTTGGCGGTCAAAAATGATCATTAGACATATGCACATCAAATTATCATATATTTTATAGAGATTTTAACAATAAGTATAAATTTTGTTTACATTCCTATGGGTTCCGTACCAATGTTTATCCGTTAGACGGCGACGCGGCGCTTACGCGCTTCGATATTTCGTGTATATGCAGTTAAAGCAGTACGACTGCTTTGAAAAATTGTTCTGAATTTCAAAAATATTTCAAAATAAATTTTTCTTCAAAAAATTTTTTTTTTCAAAAAAAAAGTAAATTTTTGTCAAAAATTTATAGTTTCTCAAAAATCTAATTTTTTCAGAGTAATTTTTTTTCAAAAATGTTAATATTTAAAAAAAATAATTTTTGGTACGGGAAGTTTCAGCAATTTGCCTTAAGGCACGATGCCATGCGCCCCACTAGTTATATCTAAGAATTATTTAAACTGAATTGCAAAGTTAATAAAATTGTCATAGACTTCTTACCTGTATTAAAATACTTCTGGTCATCATCGAATATCTTTTTGTACGAGCCAAACACAACAGGCACTATTGGTAAATCATCTTCGATTGCAAAAGAAAAAGCATGCTTATCAAATTTCTGAATCTTATCACCAATGCCTGTTTTAATCTCCGGGAAATTCCACATAATCATCTAAAAATTACACATTATTATTATATATATATATATATATATATATATATATATATATATTATATATATATATATATATATATATATATATATATATATATATATATAATAGGGTAATTATTATATATATAAGGGTGGCCCTTAATATGGATTTTCAAATTTCTTTGCTTCCAAGGGTTCAAATGCTTCCAAATTATTAAAAAAAAAACTCCCTAAAAGTTTTAGCTCTTAATATTAACATATATTCATATTCAAGAAGATGATATTGGATCAAAACCACATTCAAATGGAGAGTTTTTTTCGAGATCATAATTTGATGATTTTATAGAAATTAAAGGAGAAAATAATATGACAATTATACATAATAAAAAAATAATTAATCTTCAAATAATAATAAAATAAATTACTAAATGTTAGACCTAATATTTTACTAAAAGTTAGACCTTGTAATACTATAAAAATTTATCTACCTCATCTTTGCTTCCAAATCAATTAAAAACAATTCTCTAAAAGTTTCAGCTCTCAATATTAACATTTAGATAGTCTGCAATTCAATTAAAAATTGCATATATTTATTATTACCATATATCATTAAGTAAATTCTTGCGCCATCTGTAATAGCAGACTTGTAATTTTCATGGCAATTTATTACTGATAATTTGAGTGTCTACATCACCAATTAAATAAATATTTTGCTGCAAAATTAATTTTGAAGCCATGATGAATAAATGATTCGTTAAACAGCCCGCATGGATTTAATTAGAGGTTAAGTTATTTGTAAATATTTTTAAGTGTAATAATATTCGAGTTCACAAATGCTATCACAGATGGCGCAAGAATTTACTTTACAATAAATGCACGTAACTTTTAATTGAATTGCCGACTATCTAAATGTTAATATCAAAAGCTAAATATTTTAGAGAATTTTTTTTGTATTAATTTGGAAGCATTTGAGCCCTTGGAGGCAAAGAAATTCCAAAATGTCCATATTAAGGACCACCCTAATATATATATATATATATATATATATATATATATAATTATATAAAAAAAATTTAATATATATATATATATATATATAAATTATATATTATAATTTTACATTATTATTTATACTGCCTCTTCTATAAATATTAGCCTTCAAATCGCTCATCGTCTGCTGTGGTTTCAGAAGAACTACACCCGATAACCACATTGCTAGTCCAAGAGGCGAAATCAAAATCACTCTCAATCTTGTCATAATGGTCATTGGAAACTGTAGATAATGTATTATCTCAAACATACCTGGAAAAAACACAATATAGTAATTATAGGTGATAAAAATACTTATCAAAACGTTCCAAATTATAAAAAACATTCTTTAGACTAACATAAAGCACAGTAAGACTTTTTTAAATGATAGTAACATTGTATTTGATTCTGATGATTCTTAAATTGTTTAAATATCTAAAGCAATTTTTTGCAATAAATAGTTGAATTTGATTTCTTCTTATTTATGTTTTTTAACAGATTTATGTATTATTTGCGAGATTTCTCATCAAAAAAATGGACAGTCTATGTTCCATAAATATCTAAAAATGTAGATAAACACTTAACTTGAAGTGAAAAATTATTTATGAGGCAATTCTGCCATAATAGAGCTCATAAAATAGTGTTGTCATGGCAACGCTCTCTTATGCTTGTTCTTTGTATTGAAAATTATGAGAATGTCTATCTATTTGCCGTGCAATTAGGCGTATTTTACATATAAACAAGCAAGGAAGAATCTTATTAAACAGAATCTTGGATCATAAGATTCTTCCTTGCTAGTTTTTATGTAAAATACGCCTGATTGCACTGCAACTAGATAGACATTTTCATAATTTTCACTACAAATAACAAGCATAAGAGAGCACTATTTTATGAGCTCTATTACGTCAGAATTGTCCCATGAATGTCCATACCTAAAAGATCAAGACTACTTTGATGATTTGCAACCATTATAAAAGACTTCTTGTTGTCGAGCTTATGGGTACCATGGATATTCCAACGAAGACCCAGCAACCAGGATATGTGACGACACCATAAACTTATAATCCTAATATATATATATATATATATATATATATATATATATATATTAGATAATAGAAAACACATCACAAACACAGAACTTTTGCAAATCAAAATTGTTGTATAATAAGAAATGATATAGAGCATATTAGTAAGAAAGTTAACTATAATTAATAACTTTTAAATAAAATTATATATAAGAGGAAAAATATATGTACTATACATAGGAAAATAAATAGGTTTGTCTAACAAAAATAAGTTTTTTGAAAGAAATATAAATATAGACAAGATAAATAAAATATGTTTCTATGTTGTGAAGAATTTGACAGCTAACCAGGCGACATTAATACAATTATTCCAAAAATTCTTAAACTTTTGTATTACAATTTCTAATTTTAACAATTTATTATCCTTACTGTATATTACTCCGTTCAAAAGGCTTATAAAGCAACCAAGGAATTAATATTATAGAGTTAACCATTAAAATCGTATAAAATAAAGCAAATCGAAAATAATATCGACATTTTTCACTCAAATCGTATAAAAAAGGAAGAATTAATAAACCGAGAACGATTATGGGCTCACAATAAGACATATTTGTGCAATTTTTATTTTGTATATAAATATTATAAACTAGGTCATGAGGTTCTGCATGAAATTTGGAAAATCAATAAATATGGAGGATGACAGTTTCGAAACAAAAGTAGTAAGATTTTGTAAATTTTTACAATCATTTTATAATATTTATGCTAATTGTTTATTAAGGCAGAAAGATCTTGAAGGTATTCTGTTATAAAAAATATTAGTTTATTACGATTGGCATAAAAATGTAATGAATGGTGTGGATAAATATTTATAAGCGGTTGATAATTTTATATTAGTAATAAAAATGTTACAATTTTGTTAAAAACTGAGCAAAATTGTAACAAAAAACTGCTAATTTGGTTTTTACAAAATACCCAATGTGTGTACCACCTAATAAAAAATATCCAAGATGGACGAAATTTTCCGAGCTGTCAAATTTATCAAAGATGGACGACATTTCCCGAGCTGTCAAACTTGAATAATCGGAATTGACAGTTTCAACTTTCATAATTTTTGACAGTAAATATTAATTCTAAGGTATTTATAGTCGTGTTTCTTTTAAACAGATTAATAAATCTGTTCGAACCACTTGTATATAAGTTATTAATATTTTGCCGAACAATTTTTTCCCAGAATGTCTGCAATAGTAAAATTGGCCAAAGTTGCTACTAAATTTTCCAATAGAAACCCTGCAGCTGTTTATACTTTAGCAAGGAATCGTAAGTATGATAAATAATATTAGTGTTAATGGAGTATTTATTGCGGTTTAGGATTAAATGTGGTTTTTGTGAAACATTGCATAACAATTTTCTAACCTCTTTGTAATGTGTCAATGTTAGGAACACAAAATTATACAAAATAATATTAATATCCTTTATAGATTACAAAATACATCTTGGTTTGCTTTCTTTTAGTACTGCAGAATTTTTTGATATTGTTCCAAAGATTTTTTTTTGTTCCTTGAACTTTTTTCTAGTAATTCTATTTGACTTCTGTGTTTTTTTTTCTATTTCCTTTTCCAGATTGGAACAAGGACTACAAGCCCGGTCCATACCCCAGAACCCAAGAAGAGCGCAACAAGGCAGCTGAGCGATACGGTCTACACCCTAAAGAATATGAACCCTACCCCGAAGACGAAGGTTTAGGAGACTATCCAAAACTTCCCGACAAGGGTATTGAAAGCAGGGACCCATACTACCCTTGGGATTTCCCTGAACACAAAAGAAACTTCAATGAACCAGTAAGATAAAAGATCGATCTAAAGAAAGATTTTACTTTACAAGTATTTTGTTATTATATGAATATTTCTTTTAGCTTCATAATTATATTGAATCCATCGGTGAAGATAGGTTCAACCTCGGGCAAAGGTACCTAATCCATCCTCACGAGCAAACTTTAACGTTCCTTGCTGTGATGGCTGGATTCTTTGCACTTTATTTCCTTTGCGAACAATATAAATTCATACATCCGCATATGCCGAAACAATATCCACAAGAAGGGAAAGTGCATTATACATTTGACAAATTGGATTGAATGAATTTATAAATTGTAATGAATAGTTTCAGAATTGTAATTTGTCACGCTTATTGTAAATACTAATTGTGATGAATTGAAATAAAAAAACATAATGTTTTTTTTTTTTTAAATGCTGGTGTGAAATATATATATATATATATATATATATATATATATATATATATAATATTATAGGGTGGTCCTTAATATAGGCAATTTTAAATTTCTTTGCTTCCAAGAGCCTAAATGGTTCTAAATTAATAAAAAAAAAATCTGAAAGTTTAGCTTTTAATATTAATATTTAGATAGTCCGCAATTCAATTAAAAGTTTCGTACATTTATTATTAACAGATTCGTTAAGTAATTTCTTGCGCCATCTGTGAAAGCATTTGCGAACTCAAATATTATGATACTTAAAAATATTTATAAGACACTTCTAATTAAATCTATGTGGACTGTTTAACAAAATATTTATTCATCTTGGCATCAAAATTAATTTTGCAGCAAAATATTTATTTAATTGGTGACCCTGACACTCAAATTATCATTTTAATGAATTTTGCCATCAAAGTTACAAGTCTGCTATCACAGATGGCGCAAGAATTTACTTAATGATCTATGTTAAAAAAATATACGAAACTTTTAATTGAATTGCGGACGATCTAAATGTTATTATTAAGAGCTAAAACTTTTTGAGAATTTTTTTGTGTTAATTTGGAACCATTTGAGCCCTTGGGAGCAAAGAAATTCGAAAATGTCCATATTAAGGACCACCCTAATGTATATATATATGGGTAGCTTTGCTTATTGTTTCAAAAAACTATTTTCTGTTGAAGGTTTTCTTCTAGTTTTTACACTTAGTTCCCTCTAAATCTAAATTTCTGTCTGACAGAGTCACCAATTCCATTTATAAATTAATTGTTCAGACTGTGACTATTGTTACATTGGTTCCCAATATATCAAAATCAAGTTCCCAATATATCAGTAAGAGAATGAATCAGCATATTTATAACTCAAAAAATCCAAAACAATTTAAAACAATGTTTTCTGAGCTCATTATTAACTTCAAACACTCTTAATACTGATCATCCTACAATTTTATATAAAGAAAAAAATGTGGACTTAGAAGATTTTCTGAATCTTGTTTTATCTTTTTAAAATTAAATTGTGTAGTTCTTCTTGTTACTTTCAGAAAGCTATAAAAATGTAATTAATTTTCCTTCCTCTGAACGAAACAAACAAACAAAAAATAACAAGATCCCATTGCTTTTTAAATTACTCCATAAAATTTGAACAAATGCTAAAAACTGCTTTGAGAAAAAATGTGACATTTCTATCTTAAACCCCGAACAGTAAATACATAGTTTCAACAACTTGTTAAGTTATCATAGTTATTAGTGTGTTTTACCATTTGTGATGTTAAAAAATATATATCTTATCAATGTGCACATACTCATACCATGGATTAATAATGGTTTCATATGTTATATTAGGATACAAAATTTTAAATTGATTGCCACTGAATGAAGGCTAAGATGCTAGCCAAAACGTATGGATTTTAAATAAACTTCTAAAAACTCTTATAATATTTAATCTTCTAATCTCATACTATTTTTATTGATGTAACACTCGACTTTTTAACTCAAATTGGATATATGCATATATATATATATATATATATATATATATATATAAATATATATATATATATATATATAATATATATATATATATATATAAATATTATATATATAAATAATAATTAAATCTACCTATAATTAAATCCTCCTACGTCTTCTCATAAACAACCAACTGTCCAGTATTCGTATCAACATAAAAATCACAACCAGCATCAACAGTCGTCTCAGCATTCAAAATTTCACCACCTCGTTCCTCCACTGAAAACTGGCTCAAATCTTCCGTACACAAAAGCTCAATCGGATAATCAATCACCAAATTCAACAAATTATCATCATAAATAAAATTATCTCCAGCATCCTCCAATACATTCGTATCCACCAATGGTTCTTCGATTAATAATAGCTCTTTACTTTGTATCGGTGTAAAACTAGTATTTTGTTGTTGAGTTTGTTTTGTTTTTTTATATTTTTTCAATGGCAATGTGCATTTTAGTTCTTCAAAGTTCAGGAACATCATTTCATGGATTTTGCTTTTGTGTAGTTGGGTGATGTGTCGTTTTAGAGATTGGATGTACCGGACGACTGCATCACAGTAAGGACAAGTGTATGAGCCCAGGCCGTGTTTGAGCTGGTGGGTTTTTAGAACCGATGCCTGGAAATGAATTAAACTTTTTATTACTCATGAAATTAATTAAACAAAAAAATGTATATGTTACGGTAAATGTGCATATTTCGGTAAATGTGCATATTTCGGTGAATGTGCACATTTACCGGCTCATTTGGCAAATGTTAGTTCCACTCACGCACGTGCGGCTGAAATACTAATTCATATATTTATATTTATATTATTTATTTTAGTCATATGCATATTAATATCCATTATTTATTATTCACTATTAACTATTAACTATTTATCAATTAACAATTTATTTATTAACTAATAACTATGAAGTATTAACTATTTAATTAATAACTATTAACTATTTACTAATAACTATTCACTATTTGCTATTATCTATTCACTATTTACTATTAACTATTCAGTTATCACTATTCACTATTTTACTATTCAACTATTTACTATTAACTATTTACTGTTACTATTTACTATGAACTATTCAGTTACCACTATTCACTATTCACTATTTCACTATTCAACTATTTACCTATTAACTATTAACTACTCACTATTTAACTATCCACAATTCAACTATTCTTAATTCACTATTTACTAATAACTATTTACTATTTAACTATTCAGTTATTACTACTCACTATTTACTATTAACTATTCAATATTTACTATGAACTATTCAGTTATCACTATTCACTATTCACTATTTCACTATTCAACTATTTACTATTAACTATTTACTATTAACTATTAACTATTTACTAATAACTATTTACTATTTAACTATTCAGTTATTACTACTCACTATTTACTATTATCTATTCAATTATCACTATTAACTATTCAGTTATCACTATTCACTATTTCACTATTCAACTATTTACCTATTAACTATTAACTATTTACTGTTACTATTTACTATTAACTATTCAGTTATCACTGTTCACTATTTCACTATTCAACTGTTTACCTATTAACTATTAACTACTCACTATTTAACTATCCACAATTCAACTATTCTTAATTCACTATTTACTAATAACTATTTACTATTTAACTATTCAGTTATTACTACTCACTATTTACTATTAACTATTCAATTATCACTATTAACTATTCAGTTATCACTATTCACTATTCACTATTCAACTATTTACTATTAACTATTTACTGTTACTATTTACTATTAACTATTCAATTATCACTATTCACTATTCAACTATTTACTATTAACTATTAATTTACTGTTACTATTTACTATGAACTATTCAGTTATCACTATTCATATTCACTATTTCACTATTCAACTGTTTATCTATTAACTATTAACTACTCACTATTTAACTATCCACAATTCAACTATTCTTAATTCACTATTTACTAATAACTATTTACTATTTAACTATTCAGTTATTACTACTCACTATTTACTATTAACCATTCAATTATCACTATTAACTATTCAGTTATCACTATTCACTATTCACTATTCAACTATTTACTATTAACTATTTACTATTTACTGTTACTATTTACTATTAACTATTCAGTTATCACTATTCACTATTCAACTATTTACTATTAACTATTAATTTACTGTTACCATTTACTATGAACTATTCAGTTATCACTATTCATATTCACTATTTCACTATTCAACTGTTTATCTATTAACTATTAACTACTCACTATTTAACTATCCGCAATTCAACTATTCTTAATTCACTATTTACTAATAACTATTTACTATTTAACTATTCAGTTATTACTACTCACTATTTACTATTAACCATTCAATTATCACTATTAACTATTCAGTTATCACTATTCACTATTCACTATTTCACTATTCAACTGTTTATCTATTAACTATTAACTATTCACTATTTAACTATCCACAATTCAACTATTCTTAATTCACTATTTACTAATAACTATTTACTATTTAACTATTCAGTTATTACTACTCACTATTTACTATTAACTATTCAATTATCACTATTAACTATTCAGTTATCACTATTCACTATTTCACTATTCAACTATTTACTATTAACTATTAACTATTTACTGTTACTATTTACTATTAACTATTCAGTTATCACTATTCACTATTTCACTATTCAACTGTTTACCTATTAACTATTAACTACTCACTATTTAACTATTCACAATTCGACTATTCTTAATTCACTATTTACTAATAACTATTTACTATTTAACTATTACTACTCACTATTTACTATTAACTATTCAATTATCACTATTAACTATTCAGTTATCACTATTCACTATTTCACTATTCAACTATTTACTATTAACTATTAACTATTTACTGTTACTATTTACTATTAACTATTCAGTTATCACTATTCACTATTTCACTATTCAACTGTTTACCTATTAACTATTAACTACTCACTATTTAACTATTCACAATTCGACTATTCTTAATTCACTATTTACTAATAACTATTTACTATTTAACTATTACTACTCACTATTTACTATTAACTATTCAATTATCACTATTAACTATTCAGTTATCACTATTCACTATTTCACTATTCAACTGTTTATCTATTAACTATTAACTACTCACTATTTAACTATCCACAATTCAACTATTCTTAATTCACTATTTACTAATAACTATTTACTATTTAACTATTCAGTTATTACTACTCACTATTTACTATTAACTATTCAATTATCACTATTAACTATTCAGTTATCACTATTCACTATTTCACTATTCAACTATTTACCTATTAACTATTCACTATTTAACTATCCACAATTCAACTATTCTTAATTCACTATTTACTATTTACTATTTAACTATTCAGTTATTACTATTCACTATTTACTATTAATTATTCAGTCATCACTATTAACTATTCAGTTATCACTATTTACTATTCACTATTTTACTATTCACCATTAACTAGTTAATTATTTACTATTTAACTATTTACTTTTTAACTATTAACTATTTACTTAAACTATTTACTTCTATTTATTTAAATATTAACTATTCACTATTTAACTATTCTAAATTCACTATTTACTAATAACTATTCACTTATTACTATTCACTATTAACTATTCAATATTCAACTACTAACTATTTAACTATTCAGTTATCACTATTCACTATTTACTATTTTACTAACAATTAACTATTTAATATTAATTATTCACTATACACTATATTACTACTTTACTATTCAACTATTTACTATTAACTATTTAGTGTGCCAAATACGCTAGATGTTCATGAGACCGATCCAAGTACGCACGTACACCATTCTTTTAATTTGATTGTTTGAGAACTCCACATTCACCTAGCGTTTAGGGAAATGTGCGCATTCACTGGTGAATGTGCACATTCACCAAGAGTGCACATTTACCGTAACATAATGTGAATTAATACTATTAAATCTTTTTTCTTAAAAACTATTTTTTGATCTTATTTCACTTATGAATTTGTTTCTTGTGAAATGTTACTTTAGTTTCTAGAACAAAGTATAGGCCGATAACAGCATAATGTTATGGCAAGGCCATGTTACGCTCCAACTTCCATACATTATGCTACCAAATCATACTGAATACTATCAAAATGTCATGTATTTGCTGTTCATTCAGGTGTTTTATACATAATCTGCAACGTCACTCGTATGTTATGAACCCGAGTCAGAAAGAACCTGTTATCTGTTGACATTTGTGCAATTTCTAGGTTAGATTTTCTATCTGATAACATGAGAAATACGCCTGACTGTACAGCAACCACATGGCTTTTATCAATATTTAGAATGGATTCATGAAAATTTCTTCATAACATTTGTCTGTTATGCGGCAGAATCGGTCTATTAATCTACTTACATCAAGGAAAGACTGATCGCACTCCGAGCACTTGAATAACTTTCCTTTCTTATGAATTTGTTTATGTCTCAAAGCTGTCCGCACAGAATTAAATTTGACATGGCATATTAAACATTCTTCATCGGCATTCAATCCATACTAGAAGAAAATAATAAATAGATGAATATAATTGATAAAATATTAGAATAAAAATAAAATACTGCACAAAGAGGCACAAAATATCCAAAATAAAAAAAGTTCAAAATTTCCAAAATATTTCAAAATAAGAAAAAAAACATTTTTTTCAAAGTTTTTTTTTCCAAAAGTCAATTTTTTTCAAAAATGTAAAATTTCTCAAAAATCTAAATTTTCAAAGTTTAAGAAAAAAATGTAATCTATTTTAACAATAAAAAATTTTGGTACGGGAAGTTCCAGCAATTTGCCAGTTTAAAGTTTTTTGCAATATTTTTATTATTACATTATTTCTGAGGCTTTTATCAAAAAATTTGCTTTCTATAGAAAGACATATATGTCTAATTAAGAAAATAATTAAAATTTAAAAAAATCATTATGTAACAAAACGAAATCGTTACGTAACAGTGTGTTACGTTTTTGAGACTATGTTTGAGGTTACATCTGTTACGTTATATTCACATATTAATTACGTTTTGTACTTTGTTGGGATATATATAAAAAAATAGTTTAATAGAACATTTAAAATAAACTTTATGAAAGTGTTACTTTAATATAAATAACAATTACCAGAAAAAAGTTACATTGATTTAAGTTATTTTGATTTAAGTTATTTTGATAGAATAACTTAAATCTAAAAAACTTATTTACAGAGATATTGTAAAAATATGCTGAATGATGACAGACATTCAATGTCAAAACATAATAACTAAATATGTTAATAATTAGTTATTATTCTTTTACTTTGACTATTTGACTACTTCAAAATATATATATATATATATATATATATATATATATATATATATATATATATTGCAGAGCTTCAAACAAGGAATCCAAAAAGTAATATTAGTAATGAAAGTGAAGATAAATTTTATAAAATCACTCTTTTTTGTTCAATCACACTCAATCGTTTTAAGTGAAAAAGTGTTAGTGTATAATCAATTATAACTTTTCTTAAAACTTTCTAATTTTTTAACATTTCTAATATTTAGTTATATAATCCACTCATTTATTTTATAGTTTTCATTTTGATTATATTGTCATTTTTCTACATTATTTTTTCCACAGTTTTATTCATTTTGTATATAAAAAATCCATCATCTTCTACTTTTCTTAAATATATTGTTTGTTCAAATCTTATCAAGATCATGTTTCTTGGCAGATGTCCTGAAGATGGAACGTACCTAGTTCCAAAACGTCGACAGTAAATTATTGAAGTTTGGTTTTTTAAAAAAACTTATGTTTTTTATTACTTTTTGGAATCTTTGTTCAAAGCTCTCCAAAATATTTACAAATCCAAGTCTCTGCCATCTAATACATACAAATATATATATATATATATATATATATATATATATATACTTACTATATTATGTTTCGTCCTAACATGTCTACTCAACAAACTTCTCCTCGAATACGATCTCTTGCAATATGAGCAAGGAAATATAGAAGGATTTTTATTATCACATCCTCCATTTCCTACAACGACATCATTTTTTATATCTGGAGGTTCACAATGACTTTTTATTAGATGTTCTCGAAGTTCATTCCTCGTTTCAACAATTAATTTGCAAATAACACATTGTAAAATGATTCCGTCTCCATCTTTACATGTTTTTTGATGATTTGTGAGGTAGGTTTTACGGCTGTGATTCTGAAAAAGAAACAAAAAGACGTAAATGAGTTAGTTAAAAATATTTAAACTAACAATATATTCAGTTTTACTACAAATTCACTCAAGAAGCTTTTTTTTTTTGTTTTTTAATACTATCTTTGTTTATTTATTTTTTTATGATACATTATGAAATTATATTATTCTGATTGCTATTTACAATTTCTATTTAAAAAACGATTATTATAATATAGTTCTTATGACCACACTATCTACAACAGCTTATTTAAGCAAATATATTTATTGTAAGTTAATATTCAACAAGCCAATATACTTATTTAAGTTAATACTTCAACGTAATAAAATAACATTTAGATATTTTATATAAAATGTATCTCCATTTACAGCTTATGATTTAATATTTATTAATTGATTGAGATAAGTTTGAGTTCATAAAAAGCGATAAAATATTACAGAAGAGAATTAAAAACTATTCAAATTCTTTTTTTACATAAAAAACTATTAAAATAAAATGTTATACCATTAAACACAAGTGGCATGCGAACTCTCCAGTATGCTGTTGCAAATGTCGATACATTTGTGCAACTTTTTTACTGCAAATATCACACTCTGTAAAAAGATTAAAATAATAAATAAATAAATAAATAAATATAATATATATATATATATATATATAATATATTTATATATATATATATATCATATACAAAATTCTTCTGTAATGATGTATGTGAATATACTCCTCCTAAACAATTATTTGGATCTTGATAAATCTTTCTGAAGTTTGTTAAAAGATTTTTTTTAGATTTTTTTGAATTATAGAAATATAGTTAGATTGTAGAAATAAATGAAAAAATTACAAAAATTGTATGAAATTTTGGAATTAGGTTCATCTTACTCTCAAGGGCAAAAGTGAAAATAATTTAGACTCCTTTGCTACACTTTCTCAGTGGTGTAATTTTATTTTATTTTTTTCAAAATAACGACTACAAATAAATAATTAAAACAATTTCTAGTAAATCTTGAGATGTTATTAAACATTTATGAATATCTTACACTTGGATTTTTTTTGTGATATTTTCATTGTTTTTTTATTTAAGCAGTTAAATTTATTACTTAATACAAGATTTAAATATTATAGTGAATTAATTTCTACATCATTACCATTAAGCAATGATACAAAACAATCAATTAATGCTGTTGAAAATAAATATGAAATATAACTAACATATTCTTCAGTCTAATAAAAAATTAGTTCAAAAATAATCACATCGTCCATTTTTCATTATTAAAAATTTAATCATCAAACAATTCTTCAAAATAATAAATTCTTTTTAAACTTGGATAAGAGACTAAATTAATTTTTAACACTAGGTTCTTATCCAACTTACCAATTTTCTGGTTATCCCCATCAACAGATTTGCTCTTCAATTTAAAATGTGTTTTTAAATGTTTTGCATAATCAGATATGCTGTAAGATGTTTTGGAGCAATGTTTACAAGTCCAGCTTGTCTCATTTATTTTATTTTCTGCTCCTAGGGCTTCTGGAGGAAACAGCTCTGCTAAATCGAGACTTGCATCTTGATCTAGTAAATAGAAATATATAATTAAATATATAAGTAAATAATAATTATTATAATATTAATGTATTTATTTGCTTACTATTTCAATTAGCAATTGCCACAAATGTATATAATTGATGTGAAATATAGATTTATTATTATTTTTTGCTTATTTAAATTATATGTTACATAAAATGTTATCAAAAAATAATGTATATATATATATATATATATATATATATATATCATATTACATAGCTCAATTTTGTCAATTTCAATTAATACCTAAAAGTTTTCCATTTATCGTCAAGACTTTTGAAATGTTTTGGCTGCAAGCAGGAGGTTCTTTGATGTTTTTCTGAATATCTTGAATTTGCAATATACCTACACTGGATTTAGTTATAGAATTCATTTTGATTCTTAATCCACAAGCCTGAAAGAAAAAAAATCTTTGATAAAATTATCATTTTACCATCTAGTCACCACTGTGACAAAAACAAAAAACCATCATTTTAATTCATATACAATCTAGGTATCCCTCTCAAAAACAACAAAATGTCTATATATTTTTTTCACCATTTTTTATACATTTTTTGTTAGGATTTTTTCAGTTAGTAAGTACTCCCCGAGTAATGAAATGAGTACGAAAGTTAGGATTAATTACAAGAAACGGCCTTATATAAGAGATGAATCGTTATATGAAAATAATGAACGAAATACTCCAAAATTAGTTAAAACAGTACCCAAGGTAGAAAAACCGTCGACTGACAGTGATGATCAATGGATATCGGAGGAGTATGAATTGTGGTGTGATGAAAACGGTAAAAATATAATTTTATACCCACTTATACATATTTTATCCTTCTACAATATTATTTATTATTATTTCCAAGGTGTCAAGCATGCTGATGACGAAATCTGGTTTAGTGATTCCGAGGACTCGTCTGATGCTGACAATACATCGTTAATAGAAAATCCTGTAGCAATCCGAAGCAATCCCGCACAGAGAAAGTTTAGATGGATTTATTGTTGGCTCCAAAAATACATATTCTTTCATAAGAAAGAAAAGCATAAACCAATCACGATAAGTCTTAAAAACCAAGAACAGGTTGAGGGTTATGATAAATGTAAGATGAAGAAGTTTAAGGCTATAGCAATCCGTATTTTGGCTACTTTTATATTTTTAATTCATGTCTTACCTATTTAAGCTGATATAGTTGGTTATAATTGATAGTGAATAAATTTAAATTGAATTTAAATTTTGACTTTTATTGCACAACTTTGTTTGTAACCTCAAAACTTATGTCAAACAAAAAATGACAAAATATATAAAAAATAAAATTAAGAAAAATAAGCAGACTAATGTATGCTTAGATAATGTAGTAATTACATGCAATAGTAATTATTAATATGTGTTAATATTATTAAATGTATTTTTAATCTTTGACAGTTCAAAATTCTTTCAGTGAGATGTGAAGTTAGCAACAAAATAATATCAACATTCATCGACGCATAGATAAAAGAGAGTATCTAAGAAGAGCATCGACGCTAAAACGTTAAAAATATAAAATAAGATAAATAAGTAGACTAATGTATGCCTAGATAAAATAATAATAATATACGATAGTAATGAATAATTTATTTAATTATTAATGTATTTTTAATCTTTGACAGTTTTAAAAGTTATTTCAGTGTGATGTGAAGTTATCAACACTAGCCGATACAATGTGATGTTACCAACATTCCGCGACACGGTCGTAAACCGTTAAAATAAACAGCTGACTTACGTCATGCTACAAAAATGCCTTAACCTTAGATTTATTGCAAAACATTTTTATGTATATGTTATATTGTGCCATTGAATTATTTATTTAGTATTATCAACCACACCTACGCATAAGCACAATTCAATATAACACATCTACAATAGTATTAATTCTATTTTAGTTAAAATGACATTGTGTATGTATAAGAAATTATTATAATTCCATATGCAAATAAATAATGTTTTGTTGTTTTGTTTCAGACAAACTAGTTTTATTTATTTCTTATTTAATTTATTTAATGTAAGTACGGGATCATCTGGTTATGATTCCTTGGATCCCTGGGGAGACGGACCGAGTGTTTTTAGTAATAAAAACAAGTAAGATTTAGCAATTGTGCCCCCTTCAAGTGAGAAAAAATGCATCACAAGTAAACAAGACAGTTTTAATAATGCAGAGATAATGCCTTATTATAAGAGACTTTTGAATATGATTTTTAGACAATCAGCTTTTAAGGTACAAATATACCTTAAAATTATTAGTCACTGTATGTTTTCCTTTGTCTTTTTATCCTTTAAGAGAAACACGATTCAGATAACTTTATACGAACCCTGCACTTACGGATATCAAAAGAAAAGTTTCCACAAATTTTGGGTGCTATAGAAACATCTGAAGATTTACGCAAACTTGATGGATAATTACAGAAGTTTTTTGCAAATTCAGAAGAAGGACTGTCCGAAAAAATTGCTTACATGATTGATGATTGGTATTATAGTTTTTGGATGGCTTTGGAAAGACCACATGTAAGAAAAATTATAAAAACAATTATCAGTTTTTTTTATTTATTTCAAATATTTTACCCAGGTGAAAGTGCTTTTAGTTACGTCTGTGTTTTTGTTGCTAGTATTGTATTTCAAGTATGTAAGCAACATTCGACATTTCAAATAGTTTTTGCTTTATTGCTGATATATCTCTTATTGCTGGACGTATTATGAAATGTACATGGTAAGTTATACTACATCATGTACAATTTACAACTGTTTTTATATCAAATTTGACTTTTCTTTTCTTGAAGGAAGAAGAAATAGAACGTTTGATGACAATGAAAAAATACCAACAATTCCCAAAGAATGCACTGTGGAATCAATGTCATATGTTGAAAAAATGATTTACCAATTTAAAAAGTCATTTGCATCAGATCCTTGTAAAGATTATTATGTGTAAGTTGAATTTAAACTTGTTATGTATGATTTTGTTGTTTAAATAATTTTTTTTAACTTTAGGGTCACGAGTAAACAACTTTTGAAGTTGTCAATCCAGCAATAGTCGCTGTGGAAATGTTTACACGCTTGGTGACACATCCTGTGACTACGGGGAGCAAAAAACTTGGGGAGAGCATATACACATTATATAGTAATAATCATATAATATATATATATATATATATTATATATATATATTTTCATTTTTTTATTAATTTATTAGGTGTTGTTTACCCCTAAAAAATTATCTGAATTTTTTCAACCAATTTTTTATATTTTAATTTATTTTTAATGAGGGATTTTAGGAATAATTTTCTCTATTTTTTAATGAGTAATTTTATAAATAATTCTCTATTTTTTTTCTCTATTTTTTTAATAAGAAATTTTAGGAAAAAAGATCTCTATCTTATTTTTCTCTATTTTTTTTAATGGGGAATTTTAAAAATAATTTTCTCTATTTTTTCTATTTTTCTCTAATGAGAAATTTTAGGAATAATTTTCTATTTTTCTAATGAGGGATTTCATGAATAATTCTATCTATTTTTCTCTATTTTTAATGAGAAATTTTATAAATAATTATCTTTATTTTAACTCAATTTTGTAACAATCATTTTAGTAATTCAATCATTATTCATCCTGCACGATAACTCATCAAAGGTTGTCATTTTTGTGAACTTCATCACTAAATTTCAGTTTCAATTTGAGCTTATAGAAATATTATATTTTCTCTCTAATACACTATTATTTTTTATTAGGGATTGTCCCCCTAATTTTTTTTTTTTAATTTTTGGACCGATTTTCTTTATTTCGTTATTAAAAAGATATACAGCCCTAATTTTCCTACCACAAACCATGATTTTGTAATAGACCTTTTAGTATTTCAATCATTTTTAGTCCTGCGCTACAACTAAACAATTTTGCACTGAATTTCAATTTTCCTAAGCTTATAGAAAAGCATAATTTTTATTTAAAATCCTTCATTTTGTCGACAAATTAAGGATTGTCGACTTAATTTTCTAATACTTTTTTTTTCTAATTTTTGAACCAATTTCCTTTATTTTTTTATAGCTTGTTATTAAAAAAAGATAGATTTAGCCCTAATTTTTTCACCCTTCTACACCAAACTTCTATATTGTAATAAACATTTTAATAACTTAATCATTTTAATACTGTTTGATAACTTATAAATTATAAATACTTCTACGCTAATTTCTATTAAATCATTTTTGAAGATGGAATGTTTTTACCAAAAAATATATTTTTCTTAAGAGTTGTCTATGATGAGTAATTAAGAAATACAAACAATCCTAAATTTTCACTCTCTAATAACTTAATTTTGTAATAATCATTTTAGTAATTCAATCATTTTTCAATCAGTGTCTTTTTTATGGACGATTTTCACTAACTTTTAACTAGAAAACCTTAAATTTTTCTTCAAAATCCTTTACTTTGATTAAGGATTGTCCACTTAATTTTCTAACTTCCTTTTTTAATTTTTGAACCAATTTCCTTTATATTTTATAGCTTGTAATTAAAAAAGATAGATATAGCCCCAATTTTTCACCTCCTACCTAAAAGCGCAATTTTTTCACTTTAGTTCGTTATCTCCAAAACGGCTAGGCCTGCCTTTGCCAAAACTACTTTTCCTATCAATAGGATTCGATTGGTTTTTGAATTATTCAAATCGGTTGATCCGTGCGCCCGAAAATGTGGACGAAATATTGTATCCATACAAACATACACACACACATACAACTTTTTTTTCAATTATGCCAAAATGTTCAGAAACCTTTGAAACGTAACGATATATAAAAATTTTCATTTTCGACTTTTTTGCAGTTACTATAATTTACCCTATGGGAAGTTAAAAAAAAATTAAAAACTGAGTTTTCAAAAAAAATTTCAAGTTCTTAAAAAATATCAGTATTTTCAAAACTTTCAAATTTTTCAAAAAAACTATGATTTTCAAATTTTTTAAATGTTCAAAAAAATTCAAAATTCTCAAATTTCAAATATTACTATTATTATATTAAGTTCCAGCAATTTGTCTTAAGGCACAATCCCATGCACCACTAGTTTTTTTTTTTTTTTATAATGTGGAGTTGAAAAAAAACAACCCTAGTTTTTCACTTAAGCCCAAACTCTGAAAAAAAATCTAGAAACCGGGTCAGCCAGTATATATATATATATATATACTTATTTTTTATAATATACATATATAATTATATAGTTTAACAATTCCATTTTTATTTCAGATTCAATACCATGGCCCTACAACATAATTCTATTCCCCATCGCTCTAATATTCCTTTTCCTATTCCTAATCTTATTTGCAAGTTGGGCATTTGGAATCGATATAAATTTCAACGCTCTATTCCACTTGTTCTCATTATCAATAAGGTCCAGAAAATCTGCTGAATCAGCAGCCACATCAACAAAACTGAAGAATCCCCCAAACCTTTGACAAGCGCTTATAAATTACCCCAAATCACAGATTTAGATCTGAAATATATCGAGCAAGTCAAACGACAATGTGAGAAGTTCCTTCAACAGAAAGAAGAGAAATTGAATATGATCGAGTATAAAAATCAAGAATTAGAAAAAAAAACATCGCCTGTTAAATTGAATGGATCTACAAAATGTGTAGACGAGTTTTGTGACCAAGAAGAAGATAATAATGAGAATGTTAATTTAACCAATTGCCTTAAACCAAACATGACAAGCTCGCCGAAGACAATGAATAATGATTTCAAAAAGCAGAATAAAATAAGGACCGATAAAGTTTATTGTGAATTGTTAAAAAATATAAATGATCTTGAAAGCAGGTTGGAATTTGCAAATAGGTCGATAAGTGAAGAATTGGAGGAGATACAAAAGAAAGGATCTGAAAGCATCACTAAAGCATGATTATGTTTTTAATTTTATTACTTTAATATTTATTTTTAATAAAAATGTTTGATTGTAAATTGTCTTTGTCTTAAAGTCAGGAATGACAATTTCTTTCCAGAAGCAATAAAAACTAGTGGTGTATGGCATCGTGCCCTAAGGCAAATTGCTGGAACCTCCCGTACCGTAATGAAATATTCGAGAAATTTTAAACGTTTTCAAATATATTATTACAAATACTGTAACTTTCATTATTTTTGTTATCTTAAATGTAAATCATAAATCAATTCATCTCCAGAACATTAACAACCGTCATTTCATTTCGAATTCAATTTCAAAAAAATAGTTGCGTCAAATTTACACAAAATTAAAAAAGTGCTTCGGTATAGTCACAGTCTAAACGCATTTGCAAATGATTCTGTGCGA